TCCTGCCGGCTGCTCGGAAGGGCCTTGCCTGTCCCGCTCCATGGCTGCCAGTCGCAGCTCTAGGGCAGCCTTCTCCTGCACCAGCATCTCCTTCTCTTTGGACACCTTGGCCAGTGCATGCCCTTGGCGAGAGGACTCCTGGCACAGCTGCTCCCAAGCACTGCCAGCTGACCCTTGTTGGTGGTAAACCTGAAAGCGGGACAAAATGCAATTAGAGCCCTTTCTCTGGAATTCAAGCTTGAAGATTGACTGTGATTTTTCAGTTTTTTTCTTCAGTGTAACACCTCTGCTGGGTATTTGCTAAACATACCACCTACTCCAAAACTAAGACTGTCGAACAGACCACAGACCATCAGAAACAAACGCTTCTCCTCTCAAAGCTATCCCATAATACCCAAGATAGTACATTATGAAACTGACAGTGCAGTGATGGCAAACTCCCTTGTCTCCTCCAGTGATGCGATTCTCCCAAGCTCTTTTTCCACTGTACCAAAATCAGCTAGTCCAGAGGAAACAGTCTTGTGGGATCAGCTATTGCTCATCCTCTTCCTCAAGGCCTAAAGAGGCTCTAGCAAGTCAAAGCTGCTGCGTGTAAGTCTTAAAATACAACTTCAACAATTGCAAGGTGTCATTCCCATTCTTAGCAGTACAAGACAGCAGACTTTGACTTGGAACTTTGTCCCGCTCTCTAGTCTCGAACAAATGGAGTTTTGAAAGTTGCAAGCTTCACCACAAAAAAGCGTAAATAGAAACATGCATCCCCGTTTGTTTTTGTCTCGGAAAAAGGGTGAAGACCTATGCTATTTGCTTCTTTAGCCACATGTCAGAGTAGGACACCAACGTTGTCCCTGCCTTCTGCTGCCAGAAACGGCGTCTGTAGTGGTCCTGCCCTCACGGCTCCCTCTCCCACAAGTGCTGCCTAGGAAGGAGGTGACCATACCTTTTCCAGTGCTGGGGCAAGCTGATGTTTCTCTTGCTTCAGCAGATCGCTCTGGAGGTGCGATCCCTCCAGTGTCTCCCTTGTGACTACCAGCTCAGTCTGGAAGGAGTAATGTTTTCTTTCAAGTGCAGCTAAGTCCTTCAGTCTGTGAGAAGGGGAAAGACATACAAGCTTTTCATGTAAAAACATTCTCATTTGCAAAACCAAGAGTAGAGAATCATAGACCCCTGAGGTTGAAAAAGACCTTTAGGATCACCGAGTCCAACTGTAAACCTAACACTGCCAAGTCCACCACTCACTCATGTCCCTGAGCACCACGTCTACACGTCTTTTAAACACCTCCAGGGATGGTGCCTCAACCACTTCCCTGGGCAGCCTGTTCCAACACTTGATAACCCTTTTGGGGAAGAAATTTTTCCTAACATCCAACCTAAACCTCCCCTGGCGCAACTCAAGGCCATCTCCTCTCATCCTATCACTTGTTACTTGGGAAAAGAGGCCGACACGCACCTTGCTGCAACCTCCCTTCAGGTAGCTAACAGCTTCCTGCCCGTTAGTTCTCTCTCTCCTCTTTCGTGCGCTGGATACAACACTGTCCAAAAGTTCTTCTTTGGCTAAGACAGGCTTTTAAAGTCCACACTGCGATTCCCACAATTTCTTTGGCCTGCAGCAGAGAAACGATGCAAGAGCTTGCAATCTGTTTGGGAGGGAGATGTGTATCAATTTCCAATCCAATAATCATAGGATCACAGGACAATTCAGGTTACTACGAGTGGTGATGTTGCCCCAGAGGCCTTCTGCGCTCACTCTTGCAAGGAAACATCAGCACAGGGGTGCTACTTTGCTTATG